AGGTATCAACAGGCAAAAGCTAAGAGATAAAGGAAATGTTTGTGGCAGGAGCATAGGCCAAGACTTGAATCTGGCACATCCTGAACACAAACACAGACTCACCTGCAACTGTTAAAACCAATAAATTTAAATTATAGCTCCCTCACATGTCAGGTAGAGATTAGACTATATAAACTTGCCTGCTTATTTCTAGCAATGAAGAGAAAAGCACTACTTCCCCACGCACTGAAATAAAAAAAAGCTAAAATAAACATTAACTGCTGAAACCAGACTCTACAGTACAACAATGCAAACGAAAAGTTGCTACATCCCATATCCCATGTCTGAGCAAGTGTTAGCTCTATCTTCGCACAAAGATGCGCGCAGGTAGCTGAAGGCTACAGGCTGACACGAATTCACATCTTAACTTCTACAGCTGCACTGAAGACCTCTTGCCTTTGGCAGAAAGAGCCTCCAGACAGATAATCCAAACTGTTTAACAGTTAGGATTGCAAAAGGCTCTTGCATCAAAATGAGTTTCATACAATTTAGGAGATCTTATCTGTAATTTCCCCCATTCCCAACTAAGTGATATGCAATGGAAAACTTCCCACAAGCTACTGGTGAGTTTTTCTCCCCACCACCCAGCTTGCCTTGCCCCTCTTCCTCCCTGATGATCTAATCTTTGCAGAGGTCAATGCCTGGAGAACTCACTGGAGTAAAAATTTTCTTTTTTTTGAGAAAGAATGGTTTCTGTCCAATCCCACCTGTTTAATTCAGAGCAACAGTAAGAACACATCACTTAATGTGAAAGTATTGTCACGCTCTGCTTAACACAAGAAAAATCATTCAAGTGTGTACAGGAAGTCCAGATTTAAAAATAGCTCCCTTGTTTCCCAATCAGGGAAGGAAGATATAACCTAGATATATTGGCTGTTTAGCAAGCTGTACACTCAGTTTGCTCTTAGCGTTTTCTTGTCAAATAACTGTGCATGCTTGCAAGGTTAAATTGGGTGCCATGCTATCTCATATAACTGACCAGATGGCAGGACTTTTTTCTGCAGGAAAGAGAAGCTACTGCACCCTTCCTTGATCAGATTTTTCTATTACCCATAAAGAAAGGAATATTCATGTATTTGAAGACAGACACACATATACATTGCACATGTTCTCAGAGGTGGTGTTTTACAGTTCCTCAAGTGCATAGAAAAAGTGAGCTGACCTACAGATGAGTTTGACCCTTTCTGTGACTCTTGTTGCTTCGGTGGCTTACTGGCCTCTTCCTGCCTCCTCTGCCCTGAGCAACCCCTGAGCACAGGGGAGACGGGGCAGCTGGAACACAAAGGCATGCCTGACCAGGCTCTCAGGTATACAAAAAGTTCACACCACCCAAAGCAAATCACATAGTACTTACAAAATATCATTACCTCTGTGTGGAGAATTGATGGCCATAAAGTCCCACTGACTGTACATCTACCTGACAAAACCCCTCAATTTCTCAACGTAGAGAATATCCCCACTACGCAGAAGCCTCTCTACACCTACCTGAAAGGTTGTAGTGAGGAGGGTGTTGGTCTCTTCTCCCAAGCAACTAGCGATAGGACAAGAGGAAACAGCCTCAAGTTGTGCCAGGGGAGGTTTAGACTGGATATTAGGAAAAAATTGTCTACAGAAAGAGTGGCCAAACATTGGAACAGGCTGCCCAGGGAGGTGGTGGAGTCACCATCACTGGAGGTGTTCAAAAAAAAGTGTAGACGTGGCACTTCAGGACATGGTTTAGTGGTTATGGTGGTGTTGGGTTGATGGTTGGACTTGATGATCTTAAAGGTCTTTTCCAACCTTAATGATTCTGTGATTCTAAGGCTCTCATCCATCCTGCCCAGGAAAACTGATCTGAAAGTGATTTCACCTGATCTAAAGGCCATAGACCACTCTGCTCCTGCTGCTAGAGAGCTTGTCTTCAGTATTTTCTTCCTCTCAGCTTTGCCTCAAAGAGCTCTGCGAGGGGCCCCTCTGAGCAGCAGCAGTACTAGAAATAGCAGGACCAGTTTGAATCCACCCTTGCCCGCATATCAAACACAGAAATACTGTCCTTCATCACTGCCAAAAGCCTGCTCCCTTAGTACCTACTTTTCTAGAACACCCCAGCATATAAAGTAATGTATAATTTGACCCTGAGAATTAAAATAATTGGGAAAAAAAATATCTCAGGTAGCTGATTCCCTCCTTTGTTTTGGGCATTGCACAGCCTGACCAGAGTTCAGCCTCCAGGACACCAGCCCGAGGCTGGTTTTGCAAGCAAAGCTGTGTCACTAGCACAGTTTCTGTTAACCTTGAACTCCATCAGCTCATGAGGTCACGGGTCAGTTCAAGTTCCCCACTGTAGTAAACATGCTCACACCTAATTTTTATATGTCATTATTATCATCCAGAGTCAAAACTTAGTTTGCCCAAATTTATCACTAATTCACTAAATCTAACCCAAAATTCTAGGGTTAGATTTAATGCTTCATGCAATAAATATTTCTAGATATGAGTATTTCCCTCCTGCATTCTTCATGGGAAGGATTCACAAAAAAGGATGCAGATTCTTTGGAAGAAATACAGTGCGGTCAGAAAGGACGGCAACTCATACATATTCTGTTTCTGTGGGGAGAAGAAAATCATAGAATCACAGAATCACTTAGGTTGAAAAAGACTCAAGATCATCAAGTCCAACCATTAACCTAACACTACCGAGTCCACTAAAATAATCAATAAAACATAATTTCTTAGACATTTTATTATATCATAATGAAAATAAAACAAATATTAGCATGAAAATTGGGAAGACTAATCCTCAAACACTTAGGTAACTTAGCGCCGTCTTCAGCACTTTTTCAGCCGATGTTTTTCTGAACACTGCCTTCATACTCACAGCTGCCACTCCAGAAGAGCCAACCTCAAAGCCACATCATCTACCCCAGGTACCACCGGTAAAATTAAGAACTCAAAATGTGGACCACAAAGCTTGTCTATGCACAGAAAGAAGTATCTAGTAATTGACTTGAAATTTAACACAACTAACAAGTTACATTATTTAGGCTATAAAGACCAGCAGTTGCAAGTTGTGTGTGAAATTCACAGCTGCCCATCTGATTTTAATTGCACTCCCTTTGCACATGTGAGAACTGGAGTCCTGTGACAAAGTATCACATAACTGTGTAATCAAGAGCTGGGATATAAAATACTCCTAGAACAGAGGCAAATTAAGATTCGTAGTCCCTGGCAAACGCTTTGGGAGTAGAGAGGCAGACCAGCAGCCACGAGCCGCTGGCAGCACCTCCTGACAATGCCCATCTCTCAACTGTCTCAGATGCTGGAGCTACACAAGCGTCTCATTTTTTAAATTTTGCCCGCTCTGTTCTTACAGTAGAAGAACTGTAAAACTCTATAAAAATATTTACTTATTTATGCAAAGGTGAAACGCCATGGTGGCCTGGCTCTGCTTCATCATTCACAGGAGAAACTGCCTCCAGTCACACCTGCACCTATGTTATGTGAGCACGCATATCGGTGCGGCTTAAGACGCTCCTTTGTACGAGGAAAGATTTATAAACAGAACACCTGTAGATACCATGGCTCAGGCAACCCCAGTTGGGAAAAGCAGCAGTTTTGTTTCCCATACAACCCCTGTAGAAAATCCAGGCTGTATCATAATACACACATATATATCCCACGCACCGAATGCTGGGAAATGAAAACAAGTCTGGTGGTATCTGACAGCCAGGCACAGCTGTACCTACAGCTGTTTTCTGTATGTATACAAACATTACAACAACCAGCCCAAACCTGAGTTTA